TGTATACAAGTTTTAATAATATAATAATAATAATAATAATAAAGAGAAAAATAAATTATTAGTTTGTAACAGTGATACTAGGTCAAAGGCTAAATTAATAGATTAAACTAACTTCAAACATTTGTATTATATAATTTAAATTTTGCATTTTAGTGATATCAATGCACAGGAATTCGGATAGTGGAGGCTATGAGGATTTGAATACATCAAACAAGTGTAGGAGGTTAATTCTATGGTATAATGTGAGGAACCATGTCTATGTAATTTAACCTATGTTAAAGTAGATTTCAAGGACCACCCAAATAAAGATATCCAACTATTTTTATTATTCCTATAAAACCTTGATAATATTCATGACAAAATTAAATAATTCATCATTGGTTCATATTATATAGGTATTTACCAAAGTTTTATCATCAGGAGGTGGATGATTATTTTGTTTAGTGTTTTCATGTTGTTCCTGTATAATATGATCAAATTCTTGATCAGATAAACGAACTGTTGGTCTAGTGCTTGTGACATATGTTGGAGGAGCACTTACAACCAAATTTACCACACAAATCACTGTTGTAAATAGTATCCATAATATGGATGTCATGGTTAACTATAACACGGTAATAAAAACAAAAAGAGTAATATCATAATATAAATTGAATCAAATAAGTGTTATATAAATGTATATATAGATTAGGAATATTTGTATTTTAAATAAATTACCTCAGAAAAGTAGTTGTACCCTTTTTAAATTTAATGAAACAAAATTAACAATGTTATGAATATGATACTTGTAATCGTAGTAAACGGAATCATTATATTAATAAAAACATATTGAAATTACTAACATTGGTCGTGTTACTAGACTTAAGAATATTTCAGCATAATAGTATTCATTTAACAGTGAGAATTTATTATATAATAAGTAGGTACTTGTTTATTTCTAAAAATTATGTTAAATTGATAAAATAAACTATGTGATAAGAAACTACAATGTGGTGACACCACAGATATATAAAATAATGATAATATCTGTGTGTACTGTGTGGCGATGTCCTAACCTCCAAACTCTAATCTTGATAATAACCAAGGTTATTAGCAGGCTCGTGCAACTCAATTGAAAACGCATACTATGATACTAATAAACTTTATACAAAAAAAAAAATAATAATAACAGTAACGTACTAATATTTTTATAACAAAAACTTGGACGATTTTAGCTCTTGTTTTATTTTTTTTCTAAAATGTGAGTTTTTGCATGTAGATTATGTACATTAAAAATGTAAAAAAAAAAAAGTTGGACGAACTTCGTTTGGAAATTATGGGAAAAGACTTCATAAAGTTCGAGTTTTTCATTTCGCGTATTTCTTAGTTTAAATTTAACATTTTCAAATTTTGTTTTTTCAACATGTGTGTTTTTAAATGCATAATCCATTCGTGTAATCAAAACTTCCCTACCATATTTACTTTTAATACGTGTAAAGTTGCCCCCCCCATATCGACCAAATCAAACCGGACCGATGATAAATTAAAGATCATTATTTGTAAGTATTTGTAAGTTTGTCCTAACTGAGATATACATAACCTTAGATATTTTTCATCAGCCCCTCCTCCATAACGATCAAATCGAACCGGACCGGTTGTAAGTTAAAGATTTCCATTTTTAAGTATTTGTAAGTTAATTTTCGGAATTTGTAAGTCAAATCCCTCCTCTTTGGCATATAATTGAATTTTAAGACAAAATAACTATAGGCATAGCTTATCAATATATATAAAAATGAATCCCTATTTTCCTTGGTTATCGCATCACGTGAGAACGGCTTGGTCGAATTTAACGCAGTTTTTTGTAAAATATTCCGCATCATCCGGAGAAGGTTAATAGCTATTGAAATTCACCCTCTATTGAATACCATCCCCTAAATTCAGGTTATTAGTAATTTATTTATTTTTTAATTTTTTAATTTTCTATTCATAACTGATACTGTCAAAACCAAAAAAAAATATGGTTAAAAGATAATAAAATTTGGCACAAGCAAGGCCGGGCGGGACAGCTAGTATTTTAATAAAAATATATAAATAAAATATAAATGTAAAAATAATGAAACGTAAGTAAAATAAATTTGTTTGTAATATGTATACGAAGATTTTTCTAATTTCCCGCACAGTGAAAAATAAACCGGAATTTGATTATCTTTATATTTATCTCCGGAGATATTACAATGGGTATAGGTATCTTCGTAGCAGTCAACGTGCTACTGTATAGGTACTATTATGTATAATATTATGTATTGGTCAGAAATAATTGAGAAATGGAAAAAATTATTGTATTCAATACCTAATATTGTTAAACACAGTAGCGTATCTAGGATTTTTTCACGGGAGAAGGATATATAAATTATAAAAGCCGTGTCTATTCAATATAAAATATATATTCATTTAAACACACATATATGTATATATATTATTATACTGGATGATTTGTTTATCATGGACCTCTTAATATTTATATAGGGGTGTAAACAGTGGTCGAAGTGGCTCAAAATTAGTAGAGGGATCTCTAAACTTTTTTTTTTATTCTTATATTATGGCCTATACACGTAATGGTGATTGGAGTTGAACTAGTATCTAGTATACATTTTTGTTTTTCAGTTTGGTATTTTATTTGTTGATATATTTAAATTTGCATAAAATTATATTTTTATTTAAAACGTAAAACATATTTACATAAATATATAATTTATGCACTTATAATTTATCAATGGGTTCTAACAGTTTACATTATATAATTGGAGTTGAACTAGTATCTAGTATACATTTTTGTTTTTCAGTTTGGTATTTTAATTGTTGATATACATAAATTTGCATAAAATTATATTTTTATTTAAAATGTAAAACATATTTACATAAATATATAATTTATGCACTTACAGATTGTCAATGGCTTCTAACAGTTTACATTATATCATTAAACTGTCATTATACAGTAGGTATAAAAAAAACTAAAAAAAACTAAACTGTACATTAGTCATTACTATAGTTAATAAACTATAATGACATATTATGAACTGAAAACACTAATATAAATCGATAATCTTTGTATATAATTACAAGGAGAATGTATTATTTCGGACAAAATAAATGGAGGGATGAAAAATGTAGATTATAATAAGTGGTAGGATGTCATCCCCCCGAATTCGCCCCCCCTCATTTCGACCATTGGGTATAAAAACTTTTGTGAAAAATTGAGATCACATTATATAAAAACAATATGAAAAAAAAACATTTTAATTTCTTATTAAACCCTATATGAAATATTGAGTAGCTCATGATAAAAAAAATTGTACTGTATACATGTTACATGTTAACACAAATTTGTATTTTACTATGAAATAAAGTCTAATTTTCTTAAGGACAGTAAAATAATATTGAGGACTTCATTAGACGTGACCGTTATATTTTTATGTACCGACAGTATGTAAAGGCCTTTTATAGTCTATTATAAAAACAAATAGAACTTTAGGAACATTATAACCAAAAGCAAGTGTAAAATTTGTTTAAAAATTTACCTGACCCGTAGTCAGGGCCTGATTAACCAATAAGCGTAAAAGGCCCGTAGTGTTCCTTAAATATGTTTTTACTCGTTTAAGTGTTGAAAACGTTCTCTCAGGGGTCGCTGTCGAAACAGGTAACGTGCATACAATTTTTAATAATTTATTAATATTTGGAAAATGTATTGAATCGCATAGCAAAAATGCTTCAAGAATGCTTTTTTGAACAACATTGAGCCTAGCAAGTTTACTTTTCCATAACTTTAATTCTGCTGTTGAATTATTGAATCTATAATTAAGGACGGCACAAAGTTTTGAATTTGTTATCAAATCATTGTCTCAACTCATAGTAATTGATAAAATGTATATTAAAACTATTTTTTTTTTTTCAATATTAAATTGAATAGCCTTCATTTCGTTCATATAATTATAAAATGTATGTTTCAAATAACCTTCCGGGTGGTATATAACCCCCGTAACCCCCCCCCCCCCCCCGTAAATATAATTAACTTTTCATGTCGCCGTGACTTTTGAAGTGAGCCTTACGGTACCCTACCATGCGAAATAAGTGAGAGTTAGACATGAGAACTATCGAAATTTGTGTAAAAATCTGCGTCCCCGCGTAAATGGTGCATTTCATTTGTAGCTTCAGAGGCGGACTGGTTTGGTCTTGGGTCACAGGCCAGTCCGCAGTTTTAAAACTTTAGGCCAAGGACCAAATTTTTTCAAACAATAGACAGTTCATGACAATAACAAAATTATTTATTTTATAAAAAAAAATACCTTCTAGTATTATTTAACTATGATAAAAAAAAATAACGACAAATAAAAATCTGATTTTGGGGGTTTTTTTACCATTGATAACGAAAAATCGATTCTGAACGGAGTTCGGTTGATAGTATTGCTTTGTTAATAATATACATATACTTGTATATTAGGATAAAACAATTAAATATGTATTATATATTTTCTTTAATAATATTTTACTTATTTTCTCGTTTTTTCTACGTTTTTCCAGTTTTCCCATGTTTTCCCATTTATTTGGAAAATTTCCGGAAAAATTAAGAAAATTACTTATCTAAATTACAACTCCAATCGGATTTCCTTTCAGAAAAAGTACTATTATTGTAAATCGGAGCAAAATTTCAGTTAGAATAATTGTCCACAGAAAAAATAATAAAAATCTAAACATCATTGTAAAACCATTACAATACTCGTTTCACTCAGAATCTAAAATGAATGTTATAAAATATTGACATTTTTAATGAAAAATATGTACTACTACAGTTGAAAGTATGTAAACTTTCTTTGCTATAAGAGTACGAAAGTGTGAAACCTTAAACCCCCCTTGAAATATTTTTTTGTAAACGCACCTGCTGTCGTGTTAAATAATTGGGCTATGGCTTGGTTTTATGGTTAAGTATGGAAAAACTTCTTTCACAACTTATTCGTGTAAAAGTTAATATCATCTTATATGTACAAAATATCATAATTTGGTGTATGGAACATTATGCAAAGAAATACACATGAAATCCATTGATTACGTTGATATTTATCAAGTAATGTTTATTTTACATCAATAATTTTACAAATCACTGCAATCAATGAAATAACAATCGTTGGTTCTTTAGGTTAAAAAATATTATAAGATTAAAAATAAGATTATCATTGGCAATATTTTTAATACATTGTTTGTTTTTATTAAGTATTTATTATTTTTATCTTTTAATCTTTTTTAAACAATCGTTGTTGTCGTGAAAACGCACATTGTTGAAGAAGCAATACTATTGATTGGGCTTGAAAATTGATAATTAATCAGTTGTTTTGTCACAAGTTTGAAAAATAAAGTAGTTGTATTCTTAGTTCTGTCTGTTAATAAAAATAAAATATACAGAAAAAAATGAAAAAAAAAACTTTAATATTAAGGAAACCGTAAAAATGCTGGCAGTAAAATACAATTTTTAAGCTAGTCGAATATTAATAAAGACAGAAACCAACCAAAATTAGAATTGTATGAATTTTGGGAGGCATAACTTAACAATTTTTTTCTTCAAACTAAAAATCGAAAAATATTTTATCTTTTTTCTGCCATAATGAATAATTGAATAGTTTTTTTTAGTGTGCAAAACTATTAGACACGTTTTATACGAAAAAAACGACGAAAAACCTAACTATACAACATATTATTAAATTGACACTGAATAAAATAATAAAGTAAAAACAAAATTATTAAAATGGTCGATACTCTTAAATAAATACATAAATAAAACATTTATACATAAAAATAAAAAATGAATAAATACGGCGCCTGGAGTATTAAAAGTGTATTATATGACCGGTTTCGAATTAAAAATTCATCATCAGGCATATCACAGTCAAAATGTAAAACTTGTAATAATGATAATAATAAAAATATAATAATTATTTTTCTTTATTTCATTGTATATGTATAATTCTTCTAAAACTGAATTAACGTAAATATTATAGTTATTTTCTAAAACATTTTTAGCGAAATTTGAACTGGGGACAGTTTTTTTAAATTTTATTTCAGAAATGTGTTCTTTATATCTTATTTTAACATTTCTATTTGTCTTACCTATATAAAATGTATTATAGTTACATTTAAGTTTATATATTCTCGTCCTCATTATCCTAGAACAGCTTTTTTTATTTTTTTATTTGTTGGTAAAGTAAAAATCTCTTATGAATAACACATTACAGGTCAGTCAATCGCGTGAACGATTTTATTGTTTGGATATAAATGAAGCTGAATTATTAAATAAAATAACGCCCATTAACATACACATTTAGACAACATAATATAATATTACAATCCAACAACGACGTATTAGTGTGTCACGGTCATTAAATCACATTGTCCAATTAAACCATTATAATATGTCTGTTTTAACTCATATTATATACCTACAGGTAGACTAGTATGAATAATTTATTAATCCTTCAATAATAGTAGGTATTACAAAAAGAAAATTGATTGTAGCCGATTCGTTTGCAATATTTTTAAAGCGATTAAAACTATCAAATTCCGACTTACATTTTATTTGTTATTTTTGTTACATCTTATTAAATCAATTAATTCAAATCTAAATGTTATGATTTATAAAAGTTAACATGGAAAAAACAAGTACACAGTGATAACGAGGAAATGTGAAATTTACGTATCTGGTATAACCATACTCAGTAGACTGGTACGAGATTTCAAGTACCTGATAGTTACTTTGGTCATTCAAAACAAATTGCTTGGACAAAATAAAATATAAACTAGATTGCCTGTGGCAAACTGGTGCTTTCCTCCCTAGCAAACCTTATCAAATTTGAGCTAATATAAAAAAAATAAAAATACAAAAGATATACTCATTATTATATGCATGTTTTGTATAGGTTATTATGAAGCCATTAAAAAAATTAGATTAATTGGCAAGAAAATACTCAAAATAATTCATAGTCCAATATGTAAAACTAAAGTAGACAGATATGATAGGGAATATAATTAAATTCTTAGATTAGTGAGCTGTAAAAAAGGAGAACGTGACCCGATTCAATATTATTAAAAAAGGATGGAATGAGCTAGGTAATGCGCTTTGGGTATCTATAGTATGTGGAAGATAGATTACTTGAGAAGGCCACGATTGGAGATTTGGAGGGAACGATACATTTAGTTTGTCCAAAAAATACTATACAGTATAAAAAGTATAAAATATTCGATAGTAATATTTGAGTATCTATTTATGTATAATTTAGTTTTTGAATAAGATATTTGTATATCCAAACAGAAAGGTTGTCAATATTTTTATGTATTCCTACAGTCTATAAAATATTAAGTTTTTAATTAATGTACCTATAAGAGTTAGTCCAGAGTTATATTATTAATATCTAAACCTTTCTATCGCATACTCGTATTAATAAATAAAATGTTTAATTACTAATTATCCTCACAGTATACAATAATAATTAATTCAGAATGTATAATAATAAAGGTGGAATGATGAAATTATCGAATTTTGATTTTTCAACTAACATGACGTTTGAAACAACAATAATATTATACAGTTGTTTGGGAAAACTAACACATTTGCCTAAACCCTGGACAACGTCAGTTTTTAATAGTCAGGAACTATGATAAGTTCAAGTTTATGTTAGTTTTTCGATATGTTAGAAATAATATAGTTTAATTTATATTGCAAATTTTATCATTATACTTTTTGATTCTACAATTTATTGATGAGCCGTTGCATTTTGAACCATTTTTAATTTCCTTCCACCGCTTAAGGTAAGAATTCGATATTTTAATTAAAAACAGGAATTTTTTATACTATAAAATCAAAGATTTGTAAACAATTGCCGGTTTTTAATACAAAAAATGATGCTTAATTACATGCATTTAAGACTCGTTGGTGCCATTGTTTTCTATTTTTTGTAGTTTTCAGCATTCCTGACTTCCAGTTCTGGGTAGTCTGGGTCTCTTAGTGTTTAGACTCTTTAGAGTTATTTGTCAAATTATTTCTTCTGATCTTCATATATGTAGTATGGAGATCAGAATGAAGGGTACATCCACTCAGCTTATTTTATTGCTCTATAAGATTCCAAATATACTAGATTATAGATAATTAATTTAAGATAATTTAGTACCGTCATGTTTTGTATTATTGCCAATAGGTGCAACATTTCAAGTATAATTGACAAATAATAATTGATCAAATTGATGAAAATAATGGATGCGTCAAGAAATAAACAATACGTTTTCAGTTTGAAATTGATAGAACTTATTGGCTTACGGCAAATTTTAGATCCTGACACGCCGAAATTGTACGGTTACAACGTTTGTCACATAGTCATTGCCATATTTGGTGTATACATTCTCAGCATATCATCGTTGTGTCCATTCGGTTTTTATTATTTTATGAACGACGCCAACGCGTTCATTTTCTATCTAGGATGTATAGAAAATTATCCGTTTTCCGTGCATAAAATCATGAATATCGTATACTATTCCAAAGACTTGTGGGAATGTATGAACAAAACGAATTTCAATTTGATGGCGTACAAACATTACGACATTAGTATATTCAAAACATGGCAAAAACGTTCTTTACGTATTTCGTTTATATACGTTACAATAGCGTTTATCGGTTTGATATCGTGGATATCAGTTCCACTTGTATTCAATAAAACGATAGTCACGATAAAAAATCTCGACGGTTCGTATAGCCGATTCCGGATTAATATTTCAAATATGTATTTAATCGTATCGGACGAAACGTACAACAAATATTTTAATGTCTTCTACATCGTCGAGGTCATAATTTTAGTTTCTTTTTATTTTTTCACGTTGATATTCGATATTTGCATGATTTTAATATGTTTTGCGTTATCGTGTCAACTGGACATCATTTGTAATGCGATCCAATCACTAGGGTACAAACTACATTCAAATTACAATTATTTGAGTATGTATATACGTTATAATTACAGTTATTATAATAAAATATAATTAGGTATATGTGTGGTATTATTGATAGTGGTGTATTGGTGTGTATTATAATTATTAATAATAAAGCACTATAATTATTACTTTTTTAACGTGGTTTGTTTTACATTATTATATAAAATAGATACAAGAACAACAACAACTTAAATAAACTGCTTAACACTTTTAGGTCACCTTAGAATCATTGTTATCCTACACAACAATGTGAAAAATAAAAGCATTAAAAACTAATAAAACAAAATTTGAATTTGAATTTGAAAAAATATATTTTGTCCGGTAGCGTATTTTGTCTTCTCTTTTCTACTAATGTTCATAATATTATAATATATAACCATTGATTATAAATACTAGTATTTATACACCAATGATATTACATATTATATTAAGAGTTTTTGCCACTATATGAATATTACAGTTCGATGTCTTTTACTATCATGAACTATCTCACCTGTCTCAACACCAAATTTTTTAGGTTCTGAGCTGAGCGAGAAATGTATTTGTTTTTTTCTATGAACAACATGTGTAGCACTTTTTCTGAAAGGAAATTTGAGTGGGATGGTAGTTTAGGGAGGTAATTTTTTGATTTTCTTTGTGGTTTTTATAATAAATGAGAAAAAACGTAAGGAAAACGGGAAAATAAACGAAATTTATTATTTTTAAATCATAAATATTATGATCTTACAAAACGATCTATGAAAAATGGACATGGTCGTTTGGATGTGGCAGTTTGGACATTGGGACAATTAGACGTAAAAAAAAAAATTAAATAATTACATACAAATGTTGGTAAAAAAAAATTAAAATATAATATCAAAAAGTGCTATTTATTTATTGCAATACGCTAAAATTTTAATTAACTTAGGTAAATACCTATTATTTTTTTACTTATCTACATGAATGTACCTGTGTTTGAATCAACAATAAAGTTTAATTTAAAAACTATAAAACAAAATCTATTTTTCGAAGTCTAAAATTCGAGTCACGGGTCCAGACTTTCTAGACCTCCATAATCATCCGCTACACCATATGCTTTGTAGTGCCAATAACGCCATTTAGTACATTATAACTTGTTATTTATTAAATTAATAACTTTCTGTTAATTTTTTTTATATAACTCTATATTTTATTGTTTATTGTCTCTTTTGTTAAAATTGTATATACCATTGTTCTTATTTTGAACTGTTATAAATCAACCAATTAATTAATGTATGTTTCCAATATTGCATTACCTTGTAAATTGCCGTTTGGCGTTAATAAATTTAAATTAAATTAAATTGAAAATAAATTTGGTATTCATTGGTGGCATTTCAAGAGAAGGGGCATGAGTGTGTACTTACACTTATAGTATAGTTAGGTGATTTATTGATTTTCTTCATATTTTTTTTAATAATTTGAAAAACCGAGAAAAACCGTACGAAAAACGAAAGTTTACGGCAATAACTGTTTATTATTTTTTATTTAGTTTCTTGCTGCAATTCAATTAAAAATAATCATATAAAGACCCGACATTTTTATAGAATACTTATACTGGTCTTTTCTAAACTTAGTGCAATTTTCACTACATTCAAGTGATAGAGTTATTTATAGGCATTTGATATTTTAGACTTTTTTAGTTTTTATTTGGTTTAATGTGGGTATAATTGTTTGACTGAATTGAAATACTTGATCATTTAAAATTATAAGTTTAAGATTATAATTATAATCTCACCTTTCCAACTTTTTATTTAAAATAGTGACGTACCATCATCAGTATCAGTTATTTTTTTTTTTATACTACTTTGAATTATTCACATCTACATTCTATAATTATCTAGCATTATATACTTTGTACTTTTATTATACGATGGTGAGAACACTTATATTTATTAAAAATATTTTGTATGTAATTTCGAATATAGTGTATTTAATTATTACCATACATATTATTTTACTATGTTTTGTTGTTTATTTACTTATGTATTGTTGCTTATTTATTATTTAATAACATAAAACAAATAATTATTAAAATTAATAATAATATTATTTATTTTAAAGATTTCGATGTATAAAATATTGAAATACAGTAATGTCAGCAATTTCCGATTTTCGTGTTTTTATAGATAATGAACTAAAAAATCAAAAATCACGTGAAGCATTCGATGATTTAAAAATTATATTAGCTGATCATCAAAATGTGATAAAGTAAGTTATAATCTAATTATCTTTAAAACTATTAATTTTAACACCTTAATATTTTCCATGTATTTTATTAACTAAGGAAAATTATAAGTATATCATTTTTTTTAGGTGCTAATAATCATAACTAGGGTCCGGAATTGTATGTTTTTACATAATATATTCATTAAGTGTATGCCCAGTTTGATGTGCATAAAAAATAAAGATGATTCATTAGGCCTTATTCTAATGGGCAGTAGGATCCAAATTGGGTAATATGAAAGGAGGGCAATACAAATCCGGAATGTAAAATGTCGGACCTTAAATAGTAAGGAATGTAAAATCCCGGACTGCAATCTTTCGGAACATAAAACGCCGGAATGTAAAATTTCGGAATGTAATAATCTGGAATAAAAAAAATGGTTCTCAATTTGTCAGTAGAAAATGTTTATTATTCATGGTCGTTTGGGAAAAAGGTTTATGTTCATAAATTACCAAAATGGGTTTTGATCAATGTTGCTAGATGAAATATTGTAAAATCCCTTTTAGCTCTACCTGAATTCCCCAAATATTCTCGACATTTTACCAAATCCCTAGAATTTTACTAGAATTTTTTAATTAGTGTAATACAAATTAGTAAATTGGATTTTTCATATATATTTTTAATATATTTTACTATATTATTATTTTCATATATATTTTTATATTTGATGATATATTATATTATTTAATATTTCCGTAACTAAACATGTGCTTTTTTAAATAAAGTTGGTCATTGGATTATTATATCTAATTTTAAAATAGTTCAATATTTTCTGCGGATAACAGAAAATGCTGTGATAAGCTTCCTATCTCCCACAAAAATCGTGGATTTTAATGTCACCTGTTATCATGAATTACAAATTTAGTTAATTACCAGACAGTAAAAAAAACACTGTATATCACTAATAAAATAAACAGTTCTTATTAGTACCTGCCTACTTAGAATAAACGACACAGTTACCTTTCTACGAAATATAGATAGCTAACCTAATTTAACAAATACTATACAGCAGCGGTTCTCAACCTTTTTATAGTCGCGTACCACCTACACCACTTGAAAATTTCTACGTACCACCTGACCATTTTTTTGCTTATTAATAATGTATACGTTTATGTTACATGTATAGAATTTTATTTTATTAGGAATTACAAAATGAGATAATATAAAATAAATATGTATATATAATAAACTATAAAGTAATTAATGCACAAAAAGAAATTAAATTAAATCAAATTAAATATGTAAAATTATTATAATTATTATGGTTTACTTTTTACTTCAATGAGACGATTGGTGTTGTTTTGAACGAACGATGACATCAATATCGGGCTCCAAATTGGTAACTTTAAGTCTTAAATCACTTTCTACGTTTAATCTACTTCTATATTTATTTGTTATGTACAATAAGTCAGAAAATGTTTTTTCGCACAGATATGTTGATACAAAAGGGATTAAAAACTGTAAAGCTTGTGTGGACAATGCCGAGTATTCTTTTTTCACGTCCAGCCAAAAATTAGTGATATTTTTGTTATTGAAAGCGGTTTTTAGGGTAGAGTCACTGGTTAAGTCAATAAATAATTCTTTTGCCAAAATGCCATCTGGAATATTCTTAATATAATCATCTACGAAAGGGTTTATGATCCATTTCATTTCTGAGTTATCCTCAGGGAAATATTGTAAAACATTGGATTTTAGTGATTGTAGGTGTTCCGAAATGTCTGTAATTATATTTGAATTTGGCTGAACTTCGTTATCGTTCCAAAATGTGTTAAGTGTCTCGAATGCTGAAAGATCATTCTTAGATACTTGCGAAATAAATAAATCCAACTTTCTCACAAATGCATTAACTTTATCACTAGTATAAAACATGTTTGTGTTTGATCCTTGCAGACTTAAATTTAAAATATTTAAACGGTCAAATATGTCAGCCATGTAAGCTAGTCTTGACAGCCATTCGACATCACAAAACAATTTGGACTTTTCTTCATCAATATCAGTCAGAATTAATAAAACTTCTGACCTTAGCTCGAATAGTCTGGTGAGGACTTTTCCTCGTGAAAGCCACCTTACCTCTGTGTGGAGAAGAAGAGAGTTATGAGTACTGCCCATTTCGTTACATAATACTGTGANTTCAATCAAATATTCATTAATGGTTGTAAAAATAATTTCTGATGTTGTGTGGGTTTGTAAAGGCTTACAAAACAAAAACTCTTCAATAATTTCATCATTGCGATCGAAACGTATGAATACAATTAATTGAGCCATGTTAGCAATATCAGTACTCTCATCAATTTGTAGAGCAAAGAAATTACAATCTTTCACATAAAGCAATATTTTTTCTTTTATATTCGACGACATGTCATCAATTCTTCTTTGACTGTATCGTTTGAAAGTGACACTTTTTCTATCTCTTTTGCAGCCTTGTCTCCAAGAACACATCGCACGATTTCTTTTGCTGCTGGCAACACTAATGTTTCCCCAATTGTGTGTGGTTTTCCATCTTTAGCAATAATTAAACTTGCTAAATAAGATGCTTTAACGATATTTTCATTAAAGTTCGTAAAACTAGACATGCATTTCGATTCCTTTCGGAAAATAGTAACTTTTCTCTGAAAAAATTCAATAGGTTTATTTTCTGTTTCTGGATGCTTCGATAATTGGTGGCGCTTAAGTAGCGATGGCTTCATGCTTTGATTCGAAAGTGTTTCTTGACAAATTACACATTGAGGTAACGGAGTAGAATTCTCAGAACCAAATTTTACAACGAATCCAAATTGTAAGTAACTATCGTCATATTTACGATTCGCCTGTGTTTTCTGTTTTTTAGTATTTGAGCTTCCGCTTTCGAAAAATCTTTTCATTTTACTTAATTTTATATCACAAAAAAGTTAGAAAAAACTACATAAAAATGTAAAATTTTAATATAAAATAAACTTGATGCAAACAATTCGTATGACACTCGTGAATAAACTGAAAGAACTCACGAAACTAAGGTAAAAACGCATTATTGTGAATTAAGAATACGCTTTATCGGGTATATTTGATAAAGTTTATCGATTTATATTATATATATATATAGAATATCGCTATCTTAATTGCTACGATTACAAACGACCTCCACACCATCAAATAAACCAAATAATATTTAATGATTCATTCCAAATTTTTTTATAAAGAGAAATTTTCTTCGCGTACCACCTATGAGCTTTTCGCGTACCACTAGTGGTACGCGTACCATAGGTTGAGAACCGCTGCTATACAGTACACAAATGCAATAACTTTTTTCTGTTCAATATTTTTTTTTTAATAATTTCTATGATTACTCTATTTTAAATATTTTTTTAAACTAAAATTTAGAAACAAAATTTTGGTGTTAAAAATAATTACTAACAAATAATTATGAGTCGTTAATTTTCTACAATATTTTGAAGTTTAAATTGTTTTAATTGCCAATACTACATAAAATCAATCGATTGACTAATTTTTCCATGAAAAATAATTTTGTTAATGATTTTTGAAAACAATCAGATTTTATTTGTCTTTTTTGCATTTATGAAAAAAAGATTTATTTTAACCAGTAAAGTATTGGTGTGGTACAATTTCTACAGTGAACTTATAAACTTTTTCTTTGCGTGAATGTTTTACTACAAAATGTGCAATTAATCCTATTATACTTCATATTTAGCAATGTATTATACAGTTATATCATATAATACTGAATATTATAGTAATTCAAAATATTTAAGAGTATTAACTTAAATAAGTAATAACACCTAAAAACATGTATATTAAAATTATATTATTTTTTTATTAAATATTATTAACTTAGTAATTTTTAATATTAAGTGAACTAAAAAATTGATATCAAAATCTATATCAAAGCAATAAATATTCTATTATCACGGCTATATATTTATGATAGTAACTTATTATTACTATTGGCAGATACCAAAAACCTCTGCTGCTGTGAAGCTCTCGTTTCTAAGTTGATGTATATGATTCAGATTTTGTTTTAATCGGCAAGTTACTAGATAACAAAACTATTTCGAGAACCATTAAATTTCATCTTTTTCCGAATTTTCGGTCCGGGATTAAATATTACGGCGTTTTACTTTTTATGATATTATAGTCCAAACGTTTTACTTTCCGAATTTTTATCGTTTCGGCCAATTATTTCCTAGACAACTACTGCCTCCCGTAGAAACTATCAAAAGTCTAGTTGGCTTCATTAATGTGGGAATGTGAGTACTTTAGAAAAATATAACTTTCCTTATCGTTGAGAGTGATTGAATTCCTACTTGGTTTTTGTGTAATTTATAAATCTACCTTGTACCTAAACCTAAATCGCGTATGTTTAATTTGTGAGCGTCTGGTAGCTAAAATTATGCATTTTTTCCTAATGTATTTTAAATGCAATTTTGCTTATCACCTTACATACTACGTGTTGCGTTTTTCTACAGTTCGTTATTTCTCTGCTGTATTTTTTTAAATTTTATTTTCTTCGTACAATTTGTTTTTTTGGGGTAGGGAAGTATTAAATTTTACATGAATTTCATAAAAACAAAATTTTCAATGAATTTTGAGCAGCAGAAACAAATCCTTAGAATAAGTCTTGTGATTCATCAAACAGATTTCGCAAGAAAAGATTTTAAATATCATATAATAATAATTCTACTTTGCGTACTTGAAATCTGGACTCTTATCATAACAAATATAATTATTATTAATATAGTTCTATTTGTTTCATATAGAAATATAAGTTCGTTTTATGATGTTTTCCGGCTGGTAACATTGACTCAGATATGTATAGCATCGAATACTCACGTACTTATTTGGTTTTTTGGTTCAATGGTATGATCTTTAAAATTATACTACAAATTATCTATGATTTATTTATTTGTGAAACTAATCATTTGCATATTTTAAATAAGTTATTAATAATTTTATGAGAAAAAATATAAATATTATATTGGTATTGTTTTAGAATTATTCGAAAGGAGAAACGGGGGATTCTATATTGACAATGAAGGCGTTTGCTATACTTCCTGTGTTTACTTTTCAACTACTTATGACGAGTTTTATATTCGACACTATGAACGAAAAAGTAATTTAACCTTATCTATATTTTTATTTAATCGATTCAATAATTGTTAAATTTAATAACAAACCGATTTTAAAATTACCTACAACTTATTCAATATGACTATCATATTATAGTTTACACATACTCCTATTAATATAATAGCTTCTAAAATCGGTACTATCTAATTTCACGACCTGCTGAACTGCTGGGTTACACCGCTCGTAGCGTGGTCAAAAAAAGCCAAATGATGGGCTGAAACTCAATAAGCTTCATTATAATACTCCTATAAAATTCGCTACCAAGTTCTTAATTAAAAAATAACTTGCATTTTACCTCCAAGTTAACTGTAGCAGAAATATCACCTACTGCTGCGACAGTTCGGCAAATCTGCTGAACTGTTCTCAAATCCGTAAAACTGTACTAAAAATTATGAAATTTTGTATACGTAGTGAGTTCTACCGTATTTAAATATCCTGTTAGTTTCGAGAATCTACATAGGAAATTTCATCCGTTATACACAGATTAGTAATTTCGCAATTAAGTAAAATTACATAGTGTAGTGTATAATAATAGAATCTTATATGCAGTGGAGTAATTACGGGGAGGGAAGGGGGTCCAGGGGTGGTACTGGATCCCCAGAACTAATAAAAAAAAAAAAAAGATTTTTAGATAGTAAACATATAGAAATATATGCCGGGATAATATTAATTAGATATTAGGTAGTTATACATAATAATATAAAATAGTACAATACGTACAAAATTTATTTGTGTATTTGTGAGTGGTGCCCCTGGAGTATACCTGAATTCAACACTAGATGTAGTTATTATGATAGTTATCAGTTTATAATTTTATACGATGGGTCTTCCAAATAAAAATAATATAGAAGATTAAAATGTTTTTTTTTTTTTTGTTATTTTAGAAAAATTCGATCATTCTTGCATTATACAGTTGTAATTGGACCGATATGGACATGAAGAGTAAAAAATTAATTTTACTTGCAATGCGGATGAACCACGCAAACTGTTTAAAATTGCAGTTTACAAAAACAAAAATTGTCAATTTGGAAATGTTTGCCGGTGTATGTATGATTTGTTTCATTGTTTGATATAGATATTTGAGAATAGGATACTAGGTATATGTCAACAAATAATATTTTATATTTTATGAACTGTCTTCTTTTTTTTCCTTTGTCTTCATCTCAACTATATGTGATCAGCTATTTACTTTATGAATTGTTAATTTTTTAAATGCATAATATTTATATTATGTATGTTAATTTAAATGCATATATATTCTAAATTATATTTTTACTTTTTTTCTGATCACAATGGAATTACTTAAATGAATATATAGTTTATATACCTAGCTGTAAATTAATTAATTATCTAAATAAAATAATTTTTAATTAATTAATTTTTTTTTTTTTTTTACAGACAATGCGTGTATGTTATTCAGTATTTTCGATGTTAGCAAACTATAATAAAAATAAAGTACATTAGAATGTTATGTTGTAGGTGTAGTATATACGTAATCAAATAAAAAAGAGATGATACTGGGGACGGGTGCACGACTATTGTATAATGTATTAAATTAGTGTGATTTTTAGATTTAGAGCGTAACTAGGAATATATTGGTTTTTGGCATTACTGTTTACATTATTTTATTTTTATTTTTTTTGTGATCCTATTAATAATAATCACAGAGACATGCAATTTTCATAGAATACCTATATTGACCTTTTTTTGGTATGGTTCATTGATTCATATGGTCGTCATTCTGGTGATTTATTAGATATTTATAGGTATTCGATATTTTTTAGTGTTTTTCGTTTTTGGTCAAGCAGAAATATTTTGAAAATTGAATACAAGACTATAAGTTGTATTTGATGATAAAAATAAAAAATGAGAATAATGTAGTCATTTTTTTTTTACAAAGGTAAAATCGTGCTGTGACGAAAATCGTATAAAAATTACAGAATTTCTAAACATGCATAATTAAACTTCGCTTAGAATTATTTTTTGTAAGTAATGATTTATCGTTGGGTTCAGAAATAAATTAAATAACTATGTATCTTATCTTTCCCACTTTCCATCTACAACAATAGCACACCCATCCAGTATCAGCTTTTTTTTTTAAAATTTTAATTCAGTTAAAAATAATCATAGATCAATACAATCATAATATTGCATTGCTATCAATAAAAATATTTATTTATTTTTTTGATGTGTATATATTTATATATCCTAATAAAAACTCTTCGTCAACCACGTGTCAACCACTTAGCTAACAAAAAAAAAAAAAAAAAAAAAATCTAGTTAGAATAGTTGTGATATCAAAAAGGGGCTAAATATTTTTTTAAATTAATTATTATAGAAATTGTTTATAATTGTTTGTATTTGATTGAGTGCAATAGTTTAATACAAATAATTTAACTTGGCTTGGCGGCTACTCATAGTATGTACTTAAATAGTATTATGGTAATATTAATGAATTATAAAATGGGGATGTAAATATACATGTCGGCATCGTATCTTTATTTGTAGTCGTAAATATTAGTAGCCGCCATTCGCTAAGCTAAGTTAAATTATTGCACTTCATCAAATACAAATAATTATAAACAATTTCTATACTAATTAATTTAAGAAATTACTAAGCCCCTTTTTGGTATCGCAACTTTTTTAGGTAGAATTTTTTTTCTTAGCGAGGTTTTCACACGTAATTGATGGAGGGTTTTTGTTGGAATATAACTACTTTTTTTATTAAAATTTTAGGTGT